GATCTATAGGGAAGACCTGTAACACCAAAGATGGCGGTTGTATGCACATATCCCGCCCCTCCTGCTAGAAACCCAATCATCAACAGCCGAGCTGGGAAACGTATTAAGCCAATCGTGTGGTTCCACTGATGTAAGGGTCTACCACACATGCAGAGAAGTGCAAGCGGTGGGGAAAAACACTTTGGAAACCTTATTTTGGGGCCAAAGTCAGCAAACTTTTTAAGCTGTTTTTGTCAGATTTTACTGCTGATTCTATACATGCAGTGTTTAAATCCAGTCATGGATTATCTCACAAAAGTGAGAGCACCCCTCACATTTTAGTAAATATATGATTCTATCTTTTCATGCGACCACACTGAAGAAATGACACTTTGCACCGATGTAAAGTAGTGAGTGTGCAGCTTGTATAACAGTGTAAATCTGCTGTCCCCTCAAAATAACACACCACACAGCCGTTAATGTTTAAACCGCTGGAAACAAAAGTGAGGACACCGCTAAGTGAAAATGTCCAAATTGGGCCCAAAGTGTCAATATTTTGTGTGACCACCAATTTAGCAAGATGGCTGCCGTGTGGCGGGACTTTCCTCTATAGGGACAGTTATTCTTAAAATGGGAACAGGAAGAGGCACATTTCTGGTTTCCCGTTTTACAGTCTCGCCACAGATTATTTTTTTTACTACTTCAAGTACTCTCCACAGATCCCTGCCAGTCAGACCGAGGTTAATATTCACGTATGTGTTGCTTCAATAAAGCCACTTTGACAGGCCGTCAGTCATCATGAGGTAAAACCTGCTGACCGTCAGACACTCGGTCCGGTGGGCGCTCGCCGCCTTTTGTCTTTTCTTACACGTTTTCCCTGCAGTTTTTTCAAGTGTCAATTATTTCTACTATTCATTCATGTTCAGGAAGTTTTAATTTGCCACTTGAATAATGTGCCTTGTGGTTATAATAATTACCCTTTTGTTGGCTTATAATTAAAGAGGGAACACAATGGACTGGTGTTGACTTGAAGCACAGACACATGAGGTGACATTTTCCAGCCCTATAATAAGACTCGCGCCGCTCGTCCGCACAACGATGTCTATCACAGGATGTTCTTTTCATCCATGCCTGGTCCTTTTCACTCCGTTTGGATAAAATCAGGCTGGTGATCATTTCTTTGTTGCATCATGGAAACCAACGGGAGAGAGAGTTGGAGGTAAAAGGAGGGATACATGTGAAGATGAGAGGGAAAGAGTCCCTCGGCGTGAAGTGTCGCGGCTGTAATGATAAGGTCAAAGTAGATTTCACTGGAAAATGTCACCGTGTTTCTCCACGCCGGTCCCTCCGGGTCCCTCCTGTGACTGACACGGGTGACCTATCAGCAGCCGAGGAGCCGATAAATGTTTCCAGAGAGATACGTGGACTTCACAGTATACCAGCTGAGAGAGGAGCGAGGTGGACAGCTGACCCCTTTTAAAACAAGAGCCACGTTAAAGGTCGTTGATATGCATTTGATGGCTACATTTAAAATATCAAGCTGACAAACGGAGGCTAAAGCTAACAGGTCTCAGGTAGAGCTGCAACCATTAGTCTGTTAATTGATTATTTAACTATCAAATTAATCGCGGGCTAATTTGATAATCCTTTAATCAATCTGACTCATTTTTCTTGAAGAAAGAAAATTCAAATTCTCTGATTCCAGCTTATTAAATGTGAATATTTTCTGGTTTCCTTTTCTCCTCTGTGACAGAACACTGAATATCTTTGGGTTGTGGACAAAACAAGACGTTTCAGGACGTCCTCTCAGGATTTGGGGAAACACAGATCAACATTTTATAGACCAAACAGCTGATGTGTAATGAAAATAATTAGTTGCAGCCCCGGTCGCAGGTCATGATGATATGGTAACAGACGCAGGCTAATGCTGGCAGAAATAAAGATACAGGATATCTGCAGGATGGAGGCAGTCGTGGTGTTATGGGTGGCAGTGGAGCAGTGGATAATGCATGGCTTTGACCAGGGTTCGATTCCCACTGCGACATCCACCAATGCGTCCCTGAGCAAGACACTTCACCCCTAGATGTTCCAGAGGCGTGCAACATCTGACAAATATAGCAATTGTAAGTCGCTTTGGATAAAAGCGAGTTATTATTATTATTATTATTATTACTATCATACAGTATTATGAACACAAATGTAATGCAGAAGGTACTTTTGTTTTAAAATAACCCGTGGAAGGAAAAACATACTTGAACCAGCAGCGACTCCCACGCGGCGCATGTTCCAGTCCTGAACAGGTGATTCACTGTAATAATAATAATAACAGCCATTAGTTAGCTAATGACACGGCTCTGGAGATGACACCGGCGTGCTGCTGGAGGTAGCCGGTATCAGGTGCGTGTGCACGCGGTCGTGTACGTACTCATTTCACTTGTTGTGCCGGAGCTGAGAGAGATGGTGGGCGGGAAGAGACGGTTTGCATAACTGTGTGTGTGTGTGTGTGTGTGTGAAATACCTCTTTTCTTTCCTGTGCTACAACCTTCAAACACAATAACACCACAGCGTCCTTTCACACCACATCACATGCAGCACTCCTCAAAATGTACACTCCTCGAAACAACCCACGCTTAACAGAAACGCTCCCTCCACAAAAGTGCATTTAAACTTGCCCCCCCCCCCCCCCCCCATCCTCCCCACATGTTCCATTATCAGCCAGTAAACACTGGGGCAGTGGTGATAAGTGTTAGTGTTGCCCAGCTGCAGGTAAAAAGGGCCGGAGCTCCTGTGTACATGCCAAGCAACCAGCCCCCCCCCAACCAGCAGGCAGAAAACAACTTCTCCCATCACGCTGCAGCTTCACCACAGGATTTTTTTATTTATTTCTTTTTCTTGGAACTGAACCACAACAAATCAAAAAAATTCTGCCTTTTTCTGCTTTCACGACTCCTTTTACTCACTCGGTCACACTCAATCTCACACCGACACGATCTTTTGCCTCCTCCTCTCACCTCTTCTGTCTTTACCTGTCTGATCTTGTTCTGATCCCATAAAAACCATCACCCTCTCTGCCTCCCTCTCTCTCTCTCTGTCTGATCCATCCAGCGTTCGTTCAATCACTGGTGCTAATCAAACACCCCCCTCTCCCCCCAGATCTCCCCTGCAGCGCCACTCAATCTAACCTCTCTGCATCAATCTTTTATAGCGGGGCTTTCCACGACGCCCACTCTCTCCCTTTTGTCTGTTCCCATGATTGATACTGTGCTCTGCTCTCTCCCATTTATTATTTTTAGACTCTTCTTCATGCTTAGCTGCCACGAAGCCAGCCGTGGGGTGGTGGTGTGTTGGTAGGTGTAGGTACGCTGCGGCTTCTGACTCCACAAAATCTCAGAGCCAGAATATTTTCACGTCTTATAGCTGCTGCACACTGGAGGAGCTTTAAATCTTAACCGATTTCTTTATATTTTCATTGCAAGAACGCACACACCAGGCGATTCAGTCAATTATGTCAGAGTGGCTACTTGGGTTCTCACAGAAACATCAGATAAAAACCTCTGGAGGAGGTTTGAGACGCACTCCAGCCAGATGGAAATCTGGTCTGTAGTACTTTATTCTTTCGCCAAATCTTCTGTAACTTCGGAACAGGCCATCTGCTTCATTTTTACACCGGCACGCGCATGCCCAGTGTACGTGAACGGCCAGTAGATGTGCATTTTCAGTCGTTTTAATGTAAACGGATGCGCAGCTAAACTGCAGGCGTGGACGGAGATCATATTCGTTTTAAAACTAAAAACTAAGTAGTGTGCATGAGGTCTTAAACGTGATTTCTACTCTGCGTCAGGTCTATGTGCCTACAGCAGTTACCCATGTAGCTGTGCATTTATGCAAGATTTAATTTGACTTTAATATTTGTAACCCACAGAAAACAAACTTTGATACGCAAATATTTCACTACCTATGAATATGTATTTTTACATTTGTAATGTGTGACTTCTACACACAAAACATATGTTTTCTGTCAATTTGTGGGTCATGTTACATTTGTAATTTGTCCAATGTGTGCTGCGGAGATCTGTTTAAAAAAAAAAAAACACACATATCTCACTACCCAAAACATGTATTTTTACATTTGTGTTGTGTAAAATCATATCCACAAAAATACAACTTACTCTGTACACACATATTTTAATTTCACATACAAAGTGTTATTTACGCATTTTTGGATCAATTTTTACGCACAAAACAGTTTTTGCACATTTGTGGATCATTTCCTGTCAATTTGCAGGTCACGTTACATTTGTGACTTCCTTTTTACACATTTGTGGGATTTTGTCCACTCTGTAAACAGAGATCTGTAAATGTGAGAGCAGTTTATTAGCTACACCAGCAGGTGGCGGTAGCGACATCGCCCACCGTGAGTTATAAGAATATCCATTGCAGAACCCAGGGTCGTCTGTGGGAGACAACTGGACTCTTCTCTGTCTAAACTTTTCTGTACAAGTGTGTATAGTTTACTATTGGATACTTTCGCTCTGCATATTTACAGACCTTTTTTCGGCTTTTGAAAGGAGGCAATGACAGAAAACCGTGTGAAGCAGATTTAGATGGTTGACATTAATCCTGGACTGATTCCTTCTGAGAGCAACATGAAAGATGGCCGACTGATTACCTTTTTATAAATGTCCCCGTGCTGCCGGCGTGTTTTTGTAGTTTAGGAGTAATAAAATTCTTTTCCTAACGGCAAATCCTAATCTGCAAAACACGCTGATGAATGTTCTTTGTTTCCGTGTCTCGGCCTTGGTCTTACCAACATGAGCGGGACAGAGAGGATTTGTGATTGGTGGATGTTCTTCCCTCTCTGTTCCCTGTTTGTCCTCTGCAGAGTCGACGAATCATATCTCGTCAGTTTGTTGCCTTCAGGTTCTCTTTAAAGGAACTGTACAAACGAACGCTCGATGCGTTGTGTTCTCCTGGAGTGAAATGTTGCCGGAATGTAACATGACCTCCTCTTTGTCCCTCAGGATCTCTCGAGCCGCCTCCGTCCTGCTCTCTGACCCCTGTTTCCAGCTCCACTCCATCCAGCACCTGTTAGGAGAGGGAGCAGAGTCCACCAGCTCCTCAGCAGCCATCACCTCCACCGCCCGTCCCGTCGTCGGGTCCCTGGGGTCGACCGTGGCCCCTCAGATCCCTTCAGCCGCTGGAAACGGCTCTTCAGAGCGGAAGCACTTCTCCCTGCACGCATGTGAGTGAAACGCTTTGTTGTGTAAAGCCTTTAGTGTCTCAGAGGGACCCGTGTGGCGTCTGAGAAAATGTTGGCGTCGGCGGCAGAGTTTGAGTCGGAAAGACGTGAGCTCACTGCAGGCTACGTTAGCCGCTGCTAGCACCACATAACTGTCAGTGGGAGAGTTGCATTGTGGGTAATGTAGGTTTTGAGAAGGAAGAAGAATGTGTGTTTTAAAAGAGAGGATGCTTCATTGATTTGATTTAGATCCTGTCCATCGTGAGTCTGCGTTAAATCTGTAGAAGACGAGAACAGAGGTGTCACGGAGGGAAAATAAGTATTTCTGTTCTGGGTTTAGCAGAACGTCTCCCCTTCATGTCTTCAGCGTTGTCCTCTGTGTTCCCTTCACTCTCTCACTGTGGAGATCCGGTGTTTAAAATGGTTTTATTTTGATGTTGGACTTATTTCAGACGTAAAAACCTAAAACCTTCAGAAATGTCTTCTTCAAACCTGAATTCACCGTGCGATCCTGAATCAGTAAATACATGTAGTCAAATAGTCTTCATCAGTTTTGGATTGTAATAAAGTACATTTACTCAAGTACTTAACAAATTTGAGATACTTGTACTTTAGTACAACATCTCAGAGGGAAATATTGTCCTTTTTACTATATTTATAGTACTTCAGTAGTAGCTTCAGTTACTTTACTAATTAGGATTTTTTTAGAGTTAATGAACCCAACAACTTTGATGGTTTAAGACATTTTTCATGTTAAAACATTTAATGGTTCACAAATGTGAAGATTTGCTGCTTTTCATTTTAATTATTTGAGTTTATTTGTAATAATGTGGAGCTTTGGGCTGCTGGTTGGACAGAGGAAGCTTTGTGAAGGCGTCTCTTTGGGCTCTGAGTAACTGTGACGGCATTTCTCACTATTTTCACAATTTTTAAAATTGATTAATGGAGAAAATAATCAGCAGATTAATCCAGAATCAAAATAATCATCAGCGGCAGTCTGAGCCAACAAATGAGCTCCACCTCAACAGTAACATCCATGAATAGTACATTATACTTTTGATGCTTAAGTAAGTATTTTTGTACTTTGACTCAAGTCAGAATTTAAGTTGAAGACTTCTACTGTTAGTGGAGTAATTGTAAGTTGTAAGTGATGTATTTGTAAGTGATGTATTGCACTTCATCCACTGCTGGTCGGCATTAAAAGCAGCTTTTGTTTGCAGTGTGAAAACGACTCTCAGGTAAGTTGTGCTGCGTCTTTTTTTTCTCTGATTTCCAAGCAGAATCATGGACATTTATCCTGGATTGACTTGGATAAAGATAAAGAAATCCTTAGAAAGTAAAAGTCAAACTGAATCTAAAAACATTATGTCTTTGTGTTGGATAAATGTGTGATTGTGACTCAAGTTGTCCCTAAAGATTGCTCGGTATAACGGAGACCTGGCTGCCTGTCAGTTAAGTGTTTGATTGTTTTATAGAGAACCAAAGATTGTATAGATATATTGTACGATGTGTTTTAATGTTGAGATCAAACTGCTTCAGCGTTAGACGGGAACGCTGTGAAGCTTTTCTTTTCCAGCTGCTGAGGTCACACGACTTTAAGGACGCTTCAGGACAGTCACAGAAGTTACAAATCGATTTAGCTTCTCCTTTCAAAGTGGATCAGAAGTTGAGTCTGTGCCTTGGAAACCGGCCCGTTGTGTTCTTAATGTGATTTAGACTTCACTTTAATTTTATTTAGGGCCGCAGTCGTATTCATCATGGCCGCGGTGAACAATGCACTCTGCTTCTCCAGGCTTCTGCTGTCACTGTTATATTTCTTGTAAACTTGTTTTTATGCTGCAGTTTAGATTTTCTTTGTTGTCTGAAGCACTTTGTGTTTATAGGCTTCAGGCCGACCGGGGGCCACAGCAGTATTGGAGACTCGAGTGTGTGATTGCTTTCAGTCAGCGGAGGGGGAAACACAGAGCAGTTAGTTTCTGCAAATCTTTTTAACACTCAAACCAGTTTTTTGGTGAATTTCTCGTGGATTTAGTTTCAGGTTTTTCACACTTACAAACTGTTGGTAACAGATGATTCGGCTAAGTGGAGCAAAGACGTCCAGGTTAGGGCTGAAACGACTCATCGAGAAACTCAGAACAAGCACATTCTTTGCGCTGACGCTGTGGACAAGTGAAGGCGGTGTGATTTGATGGCGCCGATCTAAAAGTGGAGGAAGTGAGAGAAAATAACGAGGGACGAAGAAGAGACAGGCCAGAGAGACAGACGGACAGAAAGTGTCCAAAGTCTGGGGTCATCTCAAGCTAAAGTAAAGCAGCAGCTCTGTTGCAACAGCACCACGGCATCTGAACTGAAACCACCTGGTCTACGAGGCCACGCAGCGGGACCCCAAATAAGGTAACGGTCCCGTTAGTATTTAACGTCAATCATGATTGTTAGTTGAGACGAAGGCTAGCACAGGTAAGGCACAGTTCTTAGCTGTAAATGTAAAACCGTGCGTTTGTTGTTCTGGTTAGTTTGTGAGTTTGGGTTGTAACGTTACAGTGACGTGAGTCACACACATGACTGAGATCCACAGAGCAGAACCTTCAAGCAGAGATCCAGTAATCGAGCCTGACAGACAGAGCTGAGGGAGGCAGATGGAGAGACAGACAGACGGGTGGAGGGAATCGGAGACGTGCATCACCTGACGGGTGCAGAGGGAGACAACAGATTCACATCAGTGTTGTGTTATCGCCCCTGAATAATCACAGTAACACACGGTCAGTGTGTAGCTCTGGTGTGTTCATGATGTGTGTGTGTGTTTGGGCGAAGGCGTGGAGCCGCAGCTGCACAGCAGACGGCCAGGTGCCCGGTGGTTGAGCTGTCGCCACAGGGGATGGCCTGGTCAGCACGGCATCCTCCTCCGTTGCCATGGTAATGCACGCCGTTTCCATGGCCACTTTGGGTTGCATCATCTGGAGGGTGTGTGTGTGTGTGTGTGTGTGTGTGTGTGTGTGTGTGTGTGGAGGTCTGATTTTACTTAAATCCCCTATTCAGCATTTATACATAAACCAAATTAGGGCTTCACAAAAACTGACATTGGAATATTTTTCTTTTCTGCGAGTTATATTGCGATATGAAAAAACACAAGAATTGTCACCAGATGACTTTGGGCTGGACAATAAAACAATAACTATAATAATTATTTTCAATAACAATATAACAAATGTTCAACAAATGTTCAATAATTTTATTCATTTGAATTATACACAAATTAGGACTTTATTTTTTTAACAAAGATGTTTATTTTGTTGAGGACTGAAAAAAGGTTTTACTTAATTTTACTCGTGCTTGTTTGTTGACAAAGATTTTATCATAATTGTTCTGAATGCTCAGATTTGTGAAGTAATTCACTGTTTGGCGAGTTTAAACCAATTAACCAACTTTCACTCACTATCGTCCAGCACTAAGATGACTTGATTTGCTCTATTTGAAGAGAATCACGCTGCATAGAATTAATGGGTTTTGTAGTGGAAAATGCGTAAAGAATAAAAAGGTTGAAATTTAGATTTTTAGTCTGAAGACTTTTTTTGAGTGCAAATCATCCTTTCTTGAGCTTGAATGCAAGTAATATATTTAAAATATTAAATTAAATATAGCGATGCCTGCTTTCGTTGTTTGGTAAACTGATTAAGAACAGTATTGTCATGGTGATGTTGGTGGTTCGCTGTGCATGCACAGCAGAGCCTGCTTTGGGTAAATGAAGTTGCATCAGACAGACGTCTCTTGTAGATTAAAGAGAACCGTGCAAGTTTTCTTTTTGTATTAAGATTTACTTGACATCACAATGTTCTGCGATGTGACTGTTGCGCACGGGCAACAAATGTTATAATGTTTATTTATGTAAAGTATTTGTAGGGGTTTGCTCACTATCTGTATTACATCACAGCTATATTTACTAGTTCTATTACAGATTAAGGTTTCACATAAAAACCGTGTGATCTGTTTATAAGAAACGATGCATAACTTCAGATTAAACCACCCAAAGTATAAAGCAGTTCAGTTTAGCTCCACCCGTGCTGGAAGTTTGTTTGGCTGGTAAAACTTTTGTTCTTTTATTGAAGTTAAATTTGGATCTCGTGGGATCTGCGGGGTCGTCTACCTGCAGAGCGAAGTACAGCATGTTGCCTGGTGGATTCCTCGTGTTCTGGTGAACTGACCATGTGCGAAGGCGGCTTTCTTCCTGCTGCGTGTGAACGTCCTGCAGGTTAATTATCAGGGCTGGGTCTGTGAGGGATGTTGAGCTTTGCTCTGACTGAGTGGACAAACCGGTCCAGACTCTGTCAGTAACCTGTAAACTCTCCCTCTCTGTGTGAGTCATTTAAATGGATTCTGCACATTTCTGACCAGTTTTGTTTCCGAGTGCGCGCTCACATCTGTTTATTTTTGGCACGGAGCTCGTCTGTGACTTTTGCTCCGGGGTTGAAGTTATTTTGGCCGTTGCATTTATTTCTGTGTGCAGAGTTTTGGGTTTATCTGGTGTCATCTGTGCAGGCTCGGCTCAGGGTTTTTGTGATTTGAAATCCCTCCTACTGCTACTTGTCTTTGGCTTTTCCTCCGTTCTGCATATTTGTCGTTTTTAATGTCTTTGTCTTTTTGCTTTGTTGACCAGAGTCCAGAGGATGTTTTTGTCTTTTGGTCTGTGTCTGATCCTTTTAACCTCTATACAAAGGTACAAAGGTTGCAACTCAGACAACACCTTACTGGCTAAGATAGCCATGGAATAATTCATTTATACATGACTTTGTTTTGAAATCTGCATCATATATCGGTCATCGACTGCCCTTCCCTCTAAATACCAGCATTGAGAAACCCGTGTTGGTCAACCACTAGCGTCTGCACAGACCCGTTGTGTATGTGTGTGTGTAAGTGGAAGCTAGTTATCAGTAGCACTGATTCCAACCAGACGTTTGTTTTGCTTCATGTCATCCTATGTCCAAAATAAACCCCACACTGTCGCGCTGTTATGTGAAGCTCCAGGGCTTGTGTTTGTTAAAGTCCGCTGATAAACACAAGTGTAGAATAAATAAATTAAGCGAGCCACACGACATGCTGTTGAGTAAGGCTCTGTTCCAAGGCTGGATTTATTTATTTTCCTAAGTAGAACTGTTACAAATGTAAATGTGGTTTTGAATTTGATTTTCTCACATCTGGAACAGAACCTGGAATTTATGTTTCCCCTCACACGCCGTCCAGCTGCTGTCAGATTTAAATCAGAGTCAGGTAGGGCTTAACGATTATTTTGTCAGATATTGCTATATGCGTCACGATTTTAACGTGAATGGTCATTTCTGCATTTCCTTTTCAGTTTTTTCGGGGCTCTGCACCAAACAGCATGTTCCCTCACATGTGGAGAACATTATTTGTGGGCCAGGGCGTCTCTCCTAGCACCACCGTGATCATTCATAATGGGATGTTGTGAGACAGTTTACCTTTTTGTGAACAAATTGCAGCTCCTGTTACTTGGATATTTCCATTAAATTGTCCTCGGGTCCAATCAGAATGTGGCTCGTGTGTGACACGTGTCTGTTATTGTTCCTATTAGAAAGCCTGAGCCTGCGGTGGGACATAATGTCAGAGTAATGATGCACCAAGGGAAGGAGTCCTTTCACTATTTTTTATGTTCAAGGATTATGTTGTGTTGGTGGGAGCACTCAAATCCCTGCAGCCTTGAATTTATTATGGATGAGATTCTGTGGTGTAGTAGAAGCACAGCGTTTCCTTTAGATGCTGAAGAGAAAGAGAGGCACGGATGGGAGAAAAAAAAGAATGAACCCGTCTCTTTCATTAACTTAAACTTTTTTTTATTTTCCAGTGGAGTATGCAGATGGTTTATTTAATAAATAACTGCGATGTGGTGTCAGCTCTCGTCCTCGGGGAGACGAGTAGAGCTCTTCTTTTTCTGTTCTGCTGGTTTTTTTGGATTTACAAAAGTACGGTACCATCGTACAATTTTGAGGTACTGGTACTTGAGTATTTTAATATGATGCTGCTTTCTACTTCTACTCCAGTACTTTTCACTGCGCTTCATTTATCTGAAAGGCGTAGCTAAGATTTGACATGATAAGTTTATGAAATGCAACACATCGGGGCTCATGCATGATATTCTTATTTATCGGTAGTTCTGCTAACACGCCAAAGAAAAATCTCTAATGAATGTGCTGTGTTAATTAAAGACATATACCAGACAAATGCCCAAGAAACTGGACCCAACAATAACCGTGTGTATCCTCATGGTCCGACTGACCCAGAGGAGGATGTGAGTAGGAGTTGGTGTGAATGAATGCACGTCTGTAGCGTCGGAAAACAGATGACCTTCATACAGATCCCGTGCCTGCACACACATGCTCAAGCTTTATTGCTTGTCTTTAAAATTTTAAATGGGTTGGCACGTTCTTACAGTACACACTCCTGTCAAAGCACTGAGGTCATCCAATCAGATGCTCCTCGATGTCCCCAGATCCAGGTTAAAAACTAAATGTGACATTTTCGGTGGCTGCTCCTGATCTTTGGAACACTTTACCTGTTGAAATATGAATTTGCTCGGACTGCTGACACTTTGTGATCCTTGCTAAAGACTCATCTCTGTTCATTGGTCTTCAAACAGAGCTGAGTATTGACATTATTGACGTTTTCTACTGTTGTTGTTGTTGTCGTGTGTATTTGTTGCACCTTCTTACATAAAATACAGCATTTAAAAACCCATTCACATTTAAACCTTTATGATTCTTCACAGACACATGAAAACAAAAAACTGATTATGTCTTAAACCTGTTTTGTCACAGCGGTGCTTTGTGCTAAATGCCAACATCAGCATGCTATCTTGCTCACAATGACGTGCTAGCATGGCAATGTTTAGCATGTATGTAGTTTACTATGTTCACTTAGTTTAGTGTGTTAGCATGCTAACTTTTATTAGCTAACAGGGCTCAACGTTAAACTTTTTTGCCAGACAATTTTTACTGGCCCTCCTTCCAAAAGTTACTTGCCAGTGTTACAACAAAACCAAAGTTATGTTATACAGTTAACATGTTTAATTGGTTATTAAATACATCCTGGATATAAAAAAAAGTAAACTAAAATGTAATCACAGAATTACAAAATATAAAAAGCTTAACAAAACTATTTACTTTTAAAACAAAACATACTAACAGACTCGAACGTGACGTGCTCTCTCTCCTGAGAGCAGTGAATACAAGTCGCCTCTATACTGATTGACAGGTCGTCATGGTAGCGACCTGTCAATCACAAGGTAGTCCCGCCCCAAAAGCTGCTTTATCGTCTATTTCCCCCTAAATAGGACCATAATTTAGTCAGTGAACATCATGTTGTGGTGTTAGAATACTTGAAACTAGCGACTGTTGCCGCTTGATTGAGATTAGAGAAATAACATTTGACAACCACTCGTTTACGTCACTACAGATCTGGATTCCACAAGAGCTGCAAAGCAACTGCAGGATGTTGTTTCTAATTTTTTTTTTTTTTTTTAAATACTAATGTTCGGGCCAGTGAGTTGCTTGTTCAACTGTCCTGACATTGCTTTTTACTGGCCCCAGGCCTTCGGGCCACCGTTATTGTCGAGCCCTGGTTAGCATTAAACACAAAGTATAATAGGCTGGGGCTCCGAGGCCCGTATTAGAGCCCAACATAAATCGTTGCATTCATTTTTGTCAGTAACAACTGAGAAGTTTTCCAAATTTCAGACTTGCCTTGCTTTGGTCTTGTATTGTATAAGCCTGTGTGACGGACGCCAGCGAGGCTGTGCAGTGAGTAAACCTCACCCCCCGACACCTTAAGAGATGCACTGGCAACTGACGCTAGTGCCCATGGGGTTTAGCCTCCTCGTCAGCGTGTCCGCTTCCCGTACACAAGGTTGCCGGTTCGAGTCAGGCCCATGCAGTGCATTCTCAGGAGCAGCCACATACACTCTTATTATTATAATCTTCTTTTCAACTTTGTTTGTTGACTCCATCTTATCAGTGCTACTGCGGAATCCGCAGTAGTGTTGTAGCCAAGACCCGCCCAAACCAAGACCAAGTCAAGACCAAGACTTTTAGGGGCTGAGAGCAGTCGAGACCAAGACCAAGGAAGGGCGAGAACGAGTCAAGACCAAGACCAGTTCCCTGCATTGCATGGCACGCAATAAAATGTGGAACAAGATCATAGGTAGTTCTTAAATTGATCTGAAAGATCCACATTCCCATTAAAACACCCACATACAAACACTAAGAGCTGAAATCAACGTCAGCATCGCGGGGAGGGGTGAAGCAAAATGTTTCCAATCAAAGTTAGGATAACAAATCAGACAATGCAAAAGCAATTTATTGATACTCCCAAAGTTGTGGTGTTGAATGGTCTTGAAATAAAATCCAGAGTCCTCAATGACCGAGACCGAGACAAGACCGAGTACAAATGCAGTTGAGGCCGAGACGAGACTAAGACCATCAAAAAGTGGTCTAAAGGCCAGTCTTAAGGCCAAGACCGGTCTCGAGTACTACAACACTAATCCGCAGTATATTTTTTAACCGCCTGCCCCCGCGCGAATTATAATCGCCCACTATCCCAGTGCAGCTCTCTAGCCTGTACTACGGCGATGTTCAACAAACCCAGGATATGTGTTTGATATCTGGCTTCAATAACAGCCGCGATCACTCTAAGAGGTTACACAATGCTGGTTTTAAACTCGGTAAGTCATCCCAGGGCATGAGCGCGACTACATGAAAGGGATGGTGGTTTCAGCAGATGACCGATCGCAAACGTGGATGTCCGAGCTGAAAGCAACACAGCTGCAGCTGCCACATGTAGGAAGGACAGAAGATCTCAGACTGTGCGAATGTGTAAGTTAACAGGCTGATAATATCACTGCCCATCATTAGGAAACAAAAAAGTCCCAGTTGGAAATTTCCACTGGAACGCCCCCTTAAGTCGGATTTCTGATTCAGAAAGTTGGGAGAACCTCACCAACACTGACCTCAATATTCAAGATGAGTGAAAAAAACACTACTAAACTGTTGATTGCACTTCTGTCTTATTTGTGCCTCATTAAATCAGTTGAACACAGTACTGTCCAACTAACATCTGAGGTGTTTATATGTGCAAAATACCGCAAAATGCGTTATCAACTAGTATTGCTGACAATGGCTAAAATCATTGATCTTTGTTTTTAAACTAAAATCTGTTCTACTGGAATGCCGTCAACTCGGGTGTGACGACATTCCCAGCTCCGACTTCCAGCATTACTGGACCCTTTTGAATTTGTTTTCCTTTGTTGGACTTCTTACCTGGTTATGAGCCTGCTTCCTAGGAGCCCACAGACCCATATAATAATATATAACTTATAAATATTCTATATTACTACTTAGACCATATCATGGTGCGAAATTCCAATGTTTCTTTTTCTTGTAATATTAAATGGTACCTCTTAAATACATTTACTGTTATATTTGAACTTCAACCTCAATCAAAATACTCTGAACATAAACACACACTATGAGTGTACATATCCAGCAGTGTATCAGTACTTTGGAATGAAACACATCCTGCGTTACAGGTGAAGCAACAGCTTTTTGCAGAGGCCTGACAAAGCTCCGCCCCTCACCTGACTCACCTGAGACAAACCAGGAAAAAGTTTGTTCCTGTTCAGTTCTCAGAGAGAAGAGACGCAGCGACAGACGGACGGTAAGATTTACCTTCATTACAAAGCTGTGACTTCAACAGAGGGAGGACAGTTACAGGAAGGAGTACTGAAGTACTGAAGAACTTTAACTGCAACCTGCAGCTGCCTGAAACACTCAGAGACTCACAGTGAAAGTAACTGAGGCAGCTTTCTACAGCAGGGAGGAAACACAGCTGACTTCCTGTTGTAACCTGCTGTCTGCTGGGTTTTCAGCTTCAGAGACAAAATGGCTTCCAGATCAGAGGAGGATCTCTGCTGTCCGGTCTGTCAGGAGGTCTTCAGAGATCCTGTTGTTCTGTCATGTAGCCACAGCTTCTGTAAAGTCTGTCTGAAGAGCTGGTGGAGAGAAAAACAAGCACCTGAGTGTCCAGTTTGTAAGAGAAGATCTTCAAAGTCAGAACCACCTTGTAACCTGGCGTTAAAGAACCTGTGTGAGGCCTTCTTACAGGAGAGAGATCAGAGAGCTTCAGAGGCTCTCTGCAGTCTGCACTCTGAGAAACTCAAACTCTTCTGTCTGGACCATCAGCAGCCAGTGTGTGTCGTCTGCAGAGATTCAGAAAAACACAGCAACCACAGATTCAGACCCGTCGATGAAGCTGCACGACAACACAAGAAGGAACTTCAGGAAACTCTGGAGCCCTTAAAGGAGAAGTTAAAGGTTTGTGAACAAGTTAAAGTGAAGTTTGATCAAACAGCAGAACACATGAAGGTCCAGGCCCGACACACAGAGAGGCAGATTAAGGAGCAGTTTAAGAAGCTTCAGCAGTTTCTAGGGGAGGAAGAGGAGGCCAGGATGGCTGCATTATGGGAGGAAGAGGAGCAGAAGAGTCAGATGATGAAGGAGAAGATGGAGGCTCTGAGCAGAGAGATAGCAGCTCTTTCAGACACAGTCAGAGCCACAGAGGAGGAGCTGAGAGCTGAAGACGTCTCATTCCTGCTCAACTACAAGGCTGCAGTGGAAAGAGTCCAGCAGCGCCCCCTGCTGGATGATCCACAGCTGCCCTCAGGAGCTCTGATAGACCAGGCCAAACACCTGGGCAACCTGACCTTCAACATCTGGAACAAGATGAAGGACATGGTCTCCTACACTCCTCTCATTCTGGACCCAAACACTGCTGGTCCAAGACTCATCCTGTCTGAAGATCTGACCAGTGTGAGACGAGGAGGAGAGAGACAGCAGCTTCCTGACAATCCAGAGAGGTTTAATCACTGCTCTGTTCTGGGCTCTGAGGGCTTTAACTCAGGGACTCACAGCTGGGATGTCGAGGTTGGAGACAGTACAGACTGGTTACTGGGTGTGTCAGCAGAGTCTGTCCAGAGGAAGGGAGACATACGGACTGGATTATGGGGAATCTGGTTCTATGAAGGTAAATACTTAACATGGTCACCACCAGCTCCATCCACTGTTCTCAGAGTTCAGAAGAAGCCCCAGAGGATCAGAGTGAATCTGGACTGGAACAGAGGAAAGCTGTCGTTCTCTGATCCTGATACTAACACACACATACACACCTTCACACACACTTTCACTGAGAGGATGTTTCTATTCATTAACACTGGAGTTGAAGTGAAGCTGTCAGCAGTGAAGGTCTGTGTGACAGTGGAACAGAGCAGTTAGAGATAAAGAGGATGATTATATTCATGATGTAATTTAACCTGTTAAGCTGCACCTGTCCTCCTGCTGTCTCATTATTCCAAACATATCTTTATTTTCTTTCACTTGTTGTTTTTTATTCTTTGTATTTTCTTTTTCTTGTTATTTAGTTTGACAATCAGCTTTTTGTTTCTCCTGATGTGATGAAGCAGAGATGATTCTTAACGAGAGCTTCAAAGGTAACGGGAGTCTGCACTTTTTCCTCTCTTGTACCAAGCAGGTTACAGCAGTAAATCTATAAGAATCAGACTTTGGGGCTCGTTGTTTCTGTTAAATAAACAGAACGACTGAATTGTGGAGAATCGAACTGATCTAACGATGTGCAGCATGTTCACACTGACACGCGATCATATGTTTAAACTTTAATATTTGTATTAACGATGATATATTTTTAATCGGATGCTTTGGCAAAATAGTTTTCAAAACCTTCATTCTAATAAAGCCATTGAATTGAGAATAATGTATTGTGTGTTTGTGAGAGGATGAGATCTGTTCACTTCCTGTGCAGCAGGTGATACAGCATGATGAGGCGTGGTCTAAACAGATATACTGGCCACCGTACAGTATTCGTTCTTTTGCTGGAGCAGTTTGGCTCCTTACCTACTTTGTGTTGTCACCTGATTGCTTGAGATTTGCCCCCAGGGCGGTGGCAGGTGTTGTGCAGGTGAGGTGTGTCTTTCCCAGATATTTCATGAACAGCTTTTGTGAAAACGGCTTGGCCTGTTTGCACGCGCGCTTCGGAGAGGCCGACCGCCTCGTCACTAGAGGCCGGCTGACTCTGACTCTTTATGACTATCGAGCACTGTTAAAGAATAATTTGGGTATTTTTAAATCTAAACATGTTGGTGTTGAAATGACCAGTAGGTACAAGCAGTTTTGGATCCGTGCAGTAGATGCTTCTGCCGGAAACTGAACCGGCTGGAGTGGCTGCGTCATAGGACAAACTTGTTTTTGCCAGCGACAGGCTCAGGCTGTTATACCAGGTGTCTGACTACATCATGGGAAGGATCCCTACGAGGGACTCCAGGTGACCCCCCTTTGTAATGTGAGAGCTAACGTCCAGGCCACAGAGCAGCTCAGGTGTCCTTCATAGTCCTGACCTCCAGCTCCTCTTGAGGAACGTCCCCAGTATGTTCCGCCTTAATATTTCACTCAGCATGAAAGCTTCAAGCTCCTCTGTTCTCCTGCAGAGAGGGTTAGGGTTGGTCGCTATCCGAGTGAGTTGAGCCATCGATCATGGAGGCTGAGTGTGTCCCACCATCTACAACACTGACCTCAGTGTCCCACGGGGAAATGGACGACGACTCCCCAACGTCCTCCATTCCTGCTTCTTCCATTGAGGGTATAAAGTGGAGTCTTTATCGTCCACTTTCTGTCCTCTGAGGTTAGCGTATGTATGGCAGCCTGGTCTGACAAAGACTTAGTGGTATTCAGTGCTTCGCAGTTTGATTGCATTTGTAGAAAATGTCCTATATTGATCTCTTTGTACTACAGGAAGGCTCTTCTGAACAGAATCTGACTCTCTGCGTGATATAAATAAAGATTTTTGGATTGTTTGCGTTGTGTAAGCGGATAAGCAGTGACACACTTTGTTTTTAACGTCACCTTTGTCTTTGTGCTTTATATTTGGTGCAGCAGCTGTAACAGGATCTCAGTGTTTCCCAGACAGCATTTGGAGACTCCCTGTCTTACTCTGGTCCGGTATCAGCCCTCCGATCACGATTACAGCAGCACACATACAGGCTCAGTCTCAGATATGGATCTCAAATTCCTGTTTTATTGGAGTTTTAAAATAAAAATGATCAACCCAGTGAGATTCTCCGGGTCACACAGTATGCAGTTTGTGTTTTATTGCAACATCACTCTCTCCTGGTATCTTCCCATGTTCTTATAATTTAATTTGCTTCACTGCTGTGATCCAATGAATCTGTGACGTACTCAGCAAATGTTTAGCTCGGGTTTTTTGGTCTGAACCCTGGATCTTTTTGAATTAGTCGGATTTTTCCCTCCATTATATCCGTTACCTCCTTTTTTGAATAATGTTAAAAACACTAAAATGATTCATCCTGCTGGATTGTACTTTCTCTATTCTTTGTGTCCTCCGTCCATGTCTTCAAATGCTTAATAACACTTGTCACAGTTCACCCTGAGATACACAAGTGCTAAAATGGCCGATGTTTCCATGGTCTTACCTTCAGAGTTTGGAAAGGTTTGTATTTTGTCAAAAGAAATATACAAAATATAAAATGTTTTGTGGGTTTGCAACGTAGGAGAGATGCAGTGCGCTCCAACATCCCATCCTCAAAACCAGGTTCATATGGTGTATTTTAACAGGTCCTTGTGTGCCTGTGTTTTTCCACCAACAGACACAGACTACATCAGCGAGGAGGAAAAACAGAAGGTGGAGCTGATGTTGTCGTTTCTCACAGAGGAATCCAAACAGGCTGCAGCCAGCACAGCTGTAAGTACCTCTGCACGTCTCAGCACAGATCATGGACATCTTATTCAAACTCACTCTCCGCTTCCTGTATCCTGACGTGTGGAAGTGGTTTTTTGGTGCAGATGCAGGCTGTGTTTCATGTTTGTCTTGACAGATGTGGGAAGTATAACAGCTCATGGTTCATGTTTTCTTATTGAAGTGTCAGTTAGTCAGTTTTCAGATTTCATAAAGTACTAAATAAGGAGTTGTTTTGAGGCAGGCAGTCCTCAGTGTCTCAGAGAAATGAGTTTATGGAGAGCAGTTGCTGTAGAAATGAAGAACTAAAGATTTAAAGATTTCAGGCTGGCTGGCAAACTGCATAACAGAAGTAGGAATACATTCATTTTTATGCCCTTTTTAGTCATGATACCTAAATACGCAGATACTGCACTAAACATCTTCACCAAATACAATCAGGAGAAAAACACACGGAATACAAACAAAGGATGCTCCCCTGTCCCTTTCACAGAGAGGCTCCTCTGGATTATACTAATGATCAGATGTCAGCAAAGATCACCTTCCTTAATGAACAGATGGCGTTCATCTGGATAAAACAAGCCTTTTAAGACAAATCTGTGCGGTTAAGAACTGAATCTGACTCTGACGCACTCGTATGAAGAAACTTCAGAAAAAGTTAAATGGAAGTTCAGTAGAAGGAAAATGTTCTTGCATGAGACCCGGTGAAGTTTGGACACACTGATCCTGTTGCCCTTGAGGGTGAACCTGGTCAGGAGAAACCCATTTCCTCCTCCTGTGCGTCCTGCTCTTCCTCTCTGCAGTGGAAACGTGATCCTTTACTCTCCCCTCTAGACACCATCACAGAGCTAAACTGGCCAGAGAAAGGATTTATTATTGATAAGGGAAGGAGGAGGTAAAAAGAGAAGGAGACAGGGAGGACATGGAGGAGAAAGGAAAGTTGTCTAAATCACTTTTTTTGCGACGTCATTCTTCAAGAACCAGTATTTCTTCAACAGTGTTATTGGGAAGTTTGTAATAGACAGAACAGATTCTGTTCATTGTAAACTGTGCCATTGATTTGACTCTGTGAGGAGAAGAGAAATAAAATAAACCAGTCAGGTAGTTTAAGTGCAGCGAGTGCTGAGCCTGAGGTATGTTTCCACAAAGCCACTAATGGCTCTCAGCAGGGAGGAGATGCTCTCTGCTCTCACTTGGCTTGAAGGAGGAAATTACATTCTGTCTAATGTCAGGTTTTGCATGATTGGAAAGTATTCTCAAGTCCAATCACTCTGCCTGAGATGGGGTTTTCGGCTCCGAGGTAGCAGTCATTTATTCCTGCATAGAGGCTGGTGAAGTTGAATTAAACCATAATTTATTTTATCTCTACCTACTGTGTGTTTAATATAAAGTGAGGTTGGAAGTCAGACGTTCCCTGGAAATAATAGATTGTGTTTGTGTCTTGATCTGTTTCTGTGCGGAAACATTTTCTGTAACTGTGAGGACTTCTGTCCATCATCTTCTCTGTCTCACAGTGTACATCTAGCTGATAACGCTGAGCCTAATCGCTACGCTGAGAGTTTATACAACAGCAAAACGAAGTGTGTGTGCTGCGCAATGCTGTGACGGGTAAAGGAAGTTCAAATCCTGCAGTCATTCCCAAAGATAGCAGCACCTGTAAGATTTTCCCCATCAGGCATCACTTGATGAAATACTCGCCATAAAGGTTAGCCTCAGTGTTGAAGGTACCCTGTGGAGTTTTATGGAGCCGTTTCTTTAGCATGCAGGTGATGCGACGCACATTCCTGCCAGTAGTTTCACACTATTCCACTGGTCAACAGGCGGCAGCAACGCGCCAACAAACCTAACAATGCACAAACAAGCTGGTAAACATGGACATAAACAATGTAGGATTTAAAATAAATATATATATTTTATATTGGCTTTTGAAATGTTTTATGATGAAGATGCACTCAACATGTTTTTTAGGCCTCAAAGATTCACTCGGTGCATTTCGGTGAACTGGCATTGTGATTTACCACTTTCTAGTAAATCGGAGGAGAGTCTTGATTTTTGTATTTGTATCGACTTTGAGAAGGTGGTTACGATACTAACAGGAAGTGCACGGCGGTATCTGGTGTTAAAGAGGTGGTATTATGCTCATTTTCAGGTCCAAAATCTTAATAAAAAATTATTTAGAGGTTGTACCACAGCAGTTTACATGGTTTAATCTTCAAAAAACACCATATTTTTTTGTCATACTGCACATTGCTGCAGCTCCTCTTTCCACCCTGTGTTGAAGGCTTCGTTTTAGCTATGGAGTGATGCATCTTGTCTCTAAATGATCTTTGTTGGGAGTTGCACATGCTCAGTTCCTAGTTAAGGACTACTAGCCAATCAGAAGCAGAGAAGGGCGGGTCAGCGAGAAGCCGGTAAACAGCTCGGGTTCGTGTTGCCGACCAGCTTGGCAACATGGACTGGAGCGAGAGTTTCAGAGCGGTGAGTTATTAATCTGTATCCATAAAGTTTTAACTGAGCTCTGTCTCTACATCACAGGAACAACTTTATGTCCACTGACTGCCTGGAGGGTAGCTAGTGTTTGGAAGGGAGAGGAGAGCTGTGTGCTGCAGCTCGCTGTTTCTGAGGACGTGTCAGAGTAGCCGCTCGGCGAGCGTTATGACACGGATTTTTACTGTGACATCACAAGAAAGGGAAGTAAAGGCTGGACTCCAAACGAGCTGTTTTCAGGTAGTTTAGAGCAGAGTTTTCTGTGGAAAACACTCCCTTTGGGCTGGACTTTGGGCTTTTTCACTTTGCAAACCTAGTACATGCACAAAAAAGGTATAACTCAATAAAGGAGAGGGGGAAAAGCCAAAAACCATAATACCACCTCTTTAAAGTCTGAGGTTTTGGTGACCCATCCATCCCCCCCACCGACCTCGTCCGTCTGTGAACTTTTATGGTCTGAATGTAGTTTATAATTTAAAGTATGAATACTTGATTGATATTAAGACTTGAAAATGTGTGAGGATGATTAAGATGAGTTGATTATGTCAGTTTGATACATACAGGTATTAAAGTATTTTATTAAGGTTTATCTATTTGTTCATACTTTCAAAGTCTGTTCCAGTTTAGCTCAGCAATTACTCATACTCTTTCAGCTGCTTCATCTTAGAAAGGTAAGCCAGCAGTACAGTTCAGCTCCCAGCTAACATTATGTTTTACATCCTTCCTTTCCTTCTATTCATATTCCTTCCTTCACATTTTCTGCAAAAAACTCCATTCAAACTTTATGATGTTCCACATCTTTCATACATGATGGTATTGTTATGAGGATTGCTAACGAGTAATGACAAAGAAAAGGGGAAAGATGGGAAGAAGAAACTTCCCACCCGGGATCACCCGCTGACCTGTTGGAGGGAGCCGGTCCGATGTTGGTTTGTTTTATGTTTTTGTTGTTGTTTCTCTCATTTTTTTCTGCCTTCGTCCCTCCCGTTTAATCTCTCCGTCCGGCCAGCCCGCCTTATTATTTTATTTAATCATTTCCACCTCTGCATTAGGAAGCCATGGTCAAACCATTGCAATTAATCTTACAGCACATCAAGAAGCATTTTAGAGAGAACAAAAGTACTGATACTCTGTGGGTTCATGTGAAAATTGCCAGCTGAGGTGAAGATCTTATGTTAATTTGCAGGTGTTTTTTGGAGGCGAAGTTAGAGAGAGAAAAAGAAAGCCAGATCAGATATTATGGATTGTATCTGAAACGTTACAGCTGTGTTTTACCCACGATGCTCTCCCCTCTCATTACCTTTTATGTTTTACGTAACCAAACTTTTATCTGATTGTTAAACATTTATTAGGGGAACAACAAGAGTTCTTCCATTTTTCATGACAGTGTACATTTTATCACGGAGGGGGGAAGATGTTTCAGGAATCCTTTTTTGGGAGGAGATGCAGAGTAACAAGAGAGTTGGACTAAAAGAGAGAGAAAAGCTGTCTGAAGGAGGCAAAGAAAGAAAGAAAGAGTTGTATATTTGAAACTGCAACAATTTCTGAAAGAATAGTGATACTTTTACAAACAACATTATGTCTTGAATAGAGAGATATATTTAGTAAAATCAGTGATTACAGCACAATACCTCAAATGCCTCACCAAACACATTTTAGATATTTAAGCAAACAGGCGACTGGATCGGTACAGTGTCGGTGGAACGACGAGTTTGGAGGTCTTTGTTCTGCAGGTTTAGCATAAAGTCTGTGAAACCTTTTTGTGGGGTACCTCAAGGATCGATTCTGGGCCCTATTCTGCTGTCACTTTACCTGCTTCCCCTTGGTCACATAATTAATAGACACTATATGTTGTTTTGTTTTTACGCAGATGATATACAAGTCTACAAGTCTAGGCTCTGCTCAAGGCCAAGCGCTTGCTCATAATGGGAATTGTTGGGTCTCTAGTACGGTAGCGTATGGTCTGGAGCTGAATTATAGCTTCCTGTTAACCCTTCTGACTCTGGCAGTCAGGGTTGCCCCGAAATATTTTGATAAGGTTCAGCTTCGGCTCTTGTAACTTTCTCCAACTTTGCGTAGGTGAAATTGACATAATTATATTTGCTTCACCAGATTTGACCTCCAAACCAACTCAAAATGTGTCTCCATTCCAAAGATACCAAACAGTTCAAATCAGTCTTGAGACTTTTAGAGAAGTACTGCATCTCTGAAATCGAACCATTTCGGTCTGCTGCTGAGCTGCCGTATGGATTAGGACCGCAACTAAAAATAATTTTCATTGTCGATTAATCAGTTTGTTATTTGGTCTGTAAAATGTCAGAAAATGGTGAAAAATCTTCAGTTTTTTCCCAAAGCTCAAGACGGCATCATAAAACCTGAGATTCAGTTTACTGTCATAGAGGAGGAACAAAACCAGAAATATTCACATTTAAGAAGTGACATTTAGGGCAGCTGGCGTCAGAACTTGGAAAATCTGGTGTGAAAGAAAGAAACAGTGGAAGCAGAGAGCTGGTCCTGGT